ACCATACACAATTTCAATTCCAAACTCTAACTCTCTCTCTCTCTCTCTCTGGTGATGAGAGTCGCACTCGGTCACTAGCACACGATCAGTGCAGCTGAAGATGTCGATAAAGCCAAACAGCAACGCGGCATAGATTGGTTGTGGACTGGGCAACGTCAATGCGTGTGGCACCATGCAGTGAGGCGTCGGTTGTTGTTTCCTCATCAGCGCTACAGATCAGGTGGCCTTTCCTCCATTTTTTCTCTAGTCACAAATGGTTGTGTTTGTGGTTGTGGTTGTTGGGGGGTGTTTGGTTGGGTAATAGTGTGAGATTCCAATATTGTTTTCGATGTGTATGAGATTCCAATGGGTGCAGGAAGTGAAGTGGTAGTGATGGCAAGTAGTATTTTGACGAGATCGAGGACAAAACAGATTGTTGGGTTACGAGAGAGCTCGTTTTTGGGGATCAACGAATCGAGAACAACATGTAGATATGGTATTCGATTCTTTCGATCTCGTTTCACCAGGGCTGTGACATATAGAGGTAGAGGTGGAGGTGGGGGGGGGGGTTGGGTTATCCGACGGTTGTAGATTGAGGTATAATTGGTGGTGACGGTGGTGCAATGAAGGTGGAGGTGGTGTTTGTGGTACTGATTGGTTTGTCTTGCAAGCGGTGGTGATGGTGGCGATGGTGTACCGGTAGAGTTGGGACAATATGATAATTATTTTGATGTTGTGACCAATAAATTGGTTAATTTATGTTCAACAAGTATATGGGACATGTAAAATTTTTGATTTATGATCGAAAATAATTTGTTACAAATTAATTTGTGACCAATAAATAATATATGGTAAAATTTGTTAAGTTTTGATCAAGAATTTGATAATTTGTTAGAAATAATTAGTGAGCAATTAATTTGATATTTTGTGACCTAAAATAAGTTGTAACCTATACAATTTAAGATTTGTGACTGAAAAATAAATTGTGACCTATAAATTTTTTGATTTGTGATCGAGAAATAATTTGTGACCTACGAAAATTTTGAACTGTGACCAAGAAAAAGTTATAACCAATTAATTCGATAATTTGTGATCACAAATTATATGGAATTGTGATATTAATATATTTAATTAATTATTTCATAAATAAATTTTAATAATATCTGATTTTTAAAGTTTAAAACCTTATTTCTTATTTTTTAAATGAATCATAATTAAATTCTTAGATATGATTTTTTCTCAATAATATTCGACAAGC